AAAGAGGAATATCTAATAGTGAACTGTTGATTTGTATGGCCACAGGAGCAGGCAGTTAGCACAAGTAGTACGACTACTGCATCCTCGTGTCAGTGACTGGATGAAATTGGCACCTGCTTCTACGCGTTCCGAATCCGTCGTTACATTGGGCAATCGGGTGAATCTGGTCGATTTTACTTGACAAATTTGTTCCATTCCAACCATGATAGTATGAGGAAGCAAGCAGAGGCGTGAGAAATTTTTAGATAGTGCTTATTTGGTTCGAGCAGGAGTACATAATTCATGCAGTCCTGGATACGTAATCAGTCAGCTGAGTTGGTTATGGTAGCCTATTACTATTTGCTACTAGGAAATGCGAATTACTCGATGAAATGTTGGTGCTCTCGTACGAGCGCACGAATCATTTACGAAGTTTCAGGAAGGTACATGAATACATGTGCGCTAAGTTCATTGATAGTGTAAAACAGAAATTGGACCTCCAAGACAGTCTACGGGCGCTACACTCTTCGTGCTAATCTAGAGAAATTTTCATGTAGCACTTGATCGCTATGGTCCAAACTAATTTTCGTACGTTTTTTAAAGTTGTATTTAGTGTTTTGTTCGTCATAATAGGGCGCTCGTTATTAACTTTTTCAGCAGATCAAATGGTTGGTTCGTTTTCGCGGATTGAGTTCTTACTACATTGCAGTGGAAGAGATGAACTAATACTGAGTAGATCTGGATAAATCTGCTGTAATTACGTAACATTCACCTATTTTCGGATAACGTTCATTTTTGTAGCGCCACATGGTACGTAGCGTTCAACAAGACTTCAAGCTGTACTGATTATGCGCGTTTTTAAGTGCCTCCGTTTTATCAAATCTTCCTGGGGTTAAATCACTGACTCCATGAGAATAACGGTTTACTCGTGCAAAATTGTCGCTAGTCTTGTTTAATGTTCGGAATCCTGTAAACAAACTGAAAGAAACTCAGCCACGTTGTGAATTCAGTTCGTTCTCAATACCTATCACTTTCGAATTGAAACCGTTGTTACCATGGTAATTTTTATTTCATTGTTAAAATTCAGTTTTCGTCCCTTATTCCGCATTCATATTTATGTTCGAGAACATGAAGCAGGGGACTTAATTCTCAGTCAATTACATTTTCATTACTGGATCTGATCACTGTTTTACTTGATCCGTCAGTAATCAGGCATAGGCTTCAAGCGCTGTATTGAGCTGATATCCTGTCACACCCTTAATGAATTAATCTGTTCAGCTAGAAGCACATGAGACATACCAGTTGGTGATAGTTAATGTGTGTTGGGTCGTTCCCTGGAGTATGCTTCACACGTGCATTTTCACATGACAACTTATATGTTAGTCGTTCACTACAGTGCATCCACTGACATTTGTCGTGCTTTGGGCGGTGTACTCCCCATATTATTTCTACATCTTCCCATCAAAGCCTTTCGCGAGCTGTGCGGGTCGGGGATATTTAATACCATTTTTAATTACACGACAAGCTGGTGGATACGTCAACCACAGAAATGAATAGTTAGGCAGCGTGCAAAGAATGTAATGTTGGAAAAGAGCTGGTAGTAACGAAGGTAGCGTCCGTTACCAATTTCTTCGTTTCAGACAATGCCGTAATATGCTTGTTAGGTGGCAACTTACAAACAGCAGCGTCTTGTTATTTGTGAATCCGTTTTCCGCGACCACACTTTGAGCGTTCGAAACCGGTAAGTTTGTTGCTTGTATCCATGCCAGCGACATTACAATGCAGCACATTACTCGTAATCACTACTCTTGGGGGCGCCCCACACTAGATAGGAATACAAAATTCAGTGGGGATGGAAAGCCAACTTAGACATACATCTCGTCAAAGCATTCCTAAAAAAGCTCCCCTGAGATTCTCCCCTCTTTTTATATTATTGTCCCAGAATCTCCCGAACTTAAGTATAATATTCACGTAGTACTTGTAGCTGACATTGAATTGTGCGCTTTCTTACTCAACATGGTCTATATGGTGTTTACGTTTCTTCCGACAAACACATAACGCATTCCTCTAACTGCTGTGATTATATGTTACTGGTACTTCTTTGTTGTCACTACAGTTACGGTGCAAACATGTTTGTTTGCTCAGGTCTGAGTTTTGGTTTTCGACGAAGGTGGGTCATTCTTAAGTTCTAGGTGTTTGTGCTCTAAATGGATACAGGGGCACATTCTTCGCCGATGCAGCAAAGTGTGGTGTGAGATTCGAGTTGGTCCGGCCAGATGGGTTTAACATCTAAATGAAATCTAACCAATGAATGCGCAGCTAGTGTACCCTAGCTTGAGTCTGGGGATGCCTCTGGACACCATTGATCTTGGTTTCCCATAGATGCTTCGTCGGAGGCTCAGCCCAAACATGCACGGTGACCGTGACGCTGGACTATCAACGTCCGCAAGCCAGTGGGGCCGCTGTGGGTGGATTTTCGAATTTAAGTCAATGAATTCCAAGGGGAAAGTGTCAGGTGGAATTTAACACCAAAACTGCCTAAGCGCTCGCACTTAGGAGCCCCAATGGCTAGTTAACTCGCATCTGACAGGCCAGAGGAATGGGCAGCTGGTCTCTCCAGCACCAAGGCCCCTGATCATCTCTTGATCTGAAACAAGTCTACTAGAGCCATCCACTGAAATCCATTTCGGACAGGTGGTTTTATGATGCTGACTCTTACTTGAAGTTGCTGTCCGCAATCCTGCAGGATGTTAGGCGCTCTGGTCGTGGAATGGTTCTGCCAACCATACCTAATTACTGGATCCCGAGCAGCACTAAAATTACTTGAAGTTCAGATAGATACTCCTCCTGATCAAGAATAAAATCCAAAGGTCATGCAGTTTTTCACGCCAACAAGGTGCAGCGTCATGCTGAAGGACGTACAGACCTTGAACATACTCCTGAGAATTCAAGAATTGACACGGGAGATTGTGGAATACTATACGTATCTTGGAAGTTGCATTAGCTCTGACAGTAGTGTGACACGAAGTCAACGCACAAATCTCGAAAGCCAGACTTCCGGTTGCCAGCTTCAGGAAGGCAATTCACTGGGTCTCGAAGGACGCGTGTATCAGACTACTGTGCGAGTTGTATGGTTGTGAGGATCGGCCACTTTGGCGGAGGGTCTGAGACATCTCCAGTTCCTTGACCACCGATATCTCAGAACTATGGAGGGAGTGGTTGGAACCAGCGAATTCGGAATGTGATCAGGAGACGGGTTTTCGGCTCTGATTCATCGAAAATACGAATTTAATAGCCAATCTCGTTCCAGTGTCCACCGTATGATGGTTGCCAATGTCGCGTGCAGGACGCGTCGTCATACACATGATACGTTTTTTACTCATTTTGGTCGTTTATTACTGTTGTTGGGTTCCTAATGGAGGAACTTCCCAGGTCAGTCTCGTGATTCTGACTGCGACCACACGGATGTCGACAGGACAAGTCAGAGCAGGCCTAGCAGACAGAACACGAGTGAGTCTGCGTAAGTAGGTCAGTGACACACGCCTGCTACCATGCCAGTGTGCGTCGAGGCAACCTTCATGGTGCGGGGACCGTGACGAGCAGAACAAGTAGAGACCAATGAGCACACAGACGAACTGGGTGAATAAAGGTGAGAATTGTCACGCCGCCCAGTTAGATTTGAAAAATATAGTCTGTGTACCTTGGTGGCTATTCTACTGAAAACGCTGTCTTTTAAGGATTATACTGTGAACGGAGCTGAAATATGACCTCATAGTACCACAGTTCTTCGCACGTAGTTCTCACACTGTCGTCGTGATTAAGCTCAGCACACAATATCTTCAGGCCAACAAATTTCGCGTTGGTTTATACGGCCTGTGGACGCTCTGAGTGTTAACGATCACGTCCCGGTTTTCGAATATCTACCAAATTTCATTTCGTATTTTTTGCAGTAGCCTTACTAACCGTTGATTCTTCAATCGACGGTATGAACTCAGCTGAATAGTTACGAATAGCTCTGCTCGAGAACTGAATCCACGGGCTACAGTTAGATATCCTTCTTTTCTGGGTCTTTAGCTCTATTGCTTCCCATAACCATCTGTTTAGTAGAACCTGGTATCCAACGCGATAATCCTGATATCCAAAATCTGTTCGAGTAGTCTCTACCATCTGAACATCAATGGTCATGATATAGTCTCATGAGCCGTCCATACCATGCCAGCAGGCGCCAAATCGATAGTTTACATGAATGAACGGACTGATTATCCCAACACTGCATCAATGCAAATGATTCCAGGCGAACAGACCAAGTACGGTGGCGGAGTTTTCCACATATCCGACCGAACACATTTCGCACCCATGGTCAGCTTATCACAGAATATGGACACCATGCTGCATAGGGCCGATGGCTAATTATGTAGTCAAACGGAATGTTGGTAGCTCATATTGTAATTTTGGCCGGACAAAAAGGTGCCCAGCTCAGCGAACAAACCAACGGCGAGTTCTCCCTAGACTGTAGCGTTCTGCGTCTTAAACAGGAGAGTTGAATGACGAGAATGCAGACAGTAAACTAGGAGGTGACGATTAATTGAAGAATTGATAAACCCGGATTGGTATGTTAAAACGACTAGCATTAGGAGATTCCCGTTGTTTGGTATAACAAGTTAGCGACAGTGAAATGCGTAACAGCAAGTTAAATCCCCATAAAAGATTCCAGGAACCGCTATATGCATACCACTAAGTGAGGTATGTATGTGGTTTGGTGAGTGGTGTGGTCCAGCTCTTTCTGGTTGGCTTGCTGTAGTATCCACTGTTAGTCGAAATACTCACCCAAAACAAATAGTAAGAGAGGTGGTTGACTAGAGGATTCTGGTGGTTGTCTTGAAGTTTTGAAAACCGATGAGCCTTAGGTGAGTAGAACTACAAACCTGGCACATTTTGATAGGAATAGATCGTAAAACCGCAGTTTCTCAAATTACCAGATAAGAACACCACGCACTACACCGCATACACGACCAAGTGTGCCAAAAATTCAAATTGATACAAATAGATATGAACAATAGAAGCGGCAATTTGTACAGGAAGGGGTTGGGAGAAGAAACGAAGTCACTAGTGACGCCGTTCACGATCGCGTTCTTTATCTCGAATGCGTTTGTGGTCCGGTGAAAGACGGCTATCCCCATGTCTTCCATGCTTTTCACGAGATCGGCTTCGCCTAAAAATGTCAAGGGAACAAGGAATAACCAGCCATCATGAAGCCGATCACCACAAAATGAGAAACAGCAAGCGGGAGCTTCACCAATTAGGAACAAAAAGCACTTGTTTTGAGTAGTGTGACTTCGTAAAAGTGTAAACGTTATATTAAGTACCCAGAAAACTACAGCTGATGAAACACAGAAGAAGCCAGATTTACTGTGATTCCCCTTCACAGGGGAATTTCGAAAGGGGAGCGATTTTCTCTAGTCCCGATTTATTGAGCACAGAATTTTCCATAGAAGGGAGCTTCCGCGTGAGGCAACGCTCGGTCAAAAACCACTATAAGCGAATAGGGCATACTATGGATAGTTAATTTGTTAAAGTCTCCAGGTACGAAAATTGGTCGAAACAAATCGGCCGATGACATACGACAGCAACCCAAATGCGCCATATAGATTACTGAATAGAAGCGTTTATTTTTATCAGGGTCTACTCAACCGGTCACGACAGATCAAGATTAACACTCAAAACCGAGGTGCTTCGTTAATGATGTTCCCTTCGACTGAAGGGACGCGGCGCTACTTCGTGTCAGAGCGAGTTACGCTACTGATAAGCCACTCTTGGTCGAATGGTATAGTGCTCAACTGGTAACCGAAAGATTCGGAGGTTTAAATCTCTCTAGACACGTCAGATGCTATACAACGGGTCCCGCTTTGTCAGCACAAATTGGCTTCACGTACAGAATGAAAGTTCAACTGGAACGCTCACATGCTTTGACTACCTACAAACTGCAAGTAATCTACTCAGACCAGAAAACCCACTAATTGCATCGGCATCCCTTGTGAGTTGTTGAGGAGACAAGTAAAACCGGATCGTGTTTGCAGAACAGTGTAAACGAATGAGGGTAGCCACATATCCTGTCAAAGTCCGACCACAAGCAACGCACCTCACAGAGCACGCCACGAGGGATGAAATCGCGCACAACATCAGATAGACCACCCAATCACTGATCGAAAACAAGTGCAAACAATACCCTTCTCCGCAAGGAACCTGCTCTAGGGAACTGCACACACAATTTGTCACCGGAAAAAATGAAACAGAGTAGAGATCATAGAAACTATGAAACATATGAAACCATTTTGTGGCCGACTGCGTGGTAATCGTTAGGGGTCTCCGGAATTACCCATTTCTGTGTGAATCACGACTGAAAAAAGAAAATGATGTAGGGTCTACTCTAGTATGTTGATTTTCAACATCCTCTGTGACCCAGAGCTTTGAATGACTAGCGATAAGACCCACTGCTATGATGAGGCCTGGTCCTACAAGCAATCTAAGTCCGTCATGATGAAAAGTGATTGTAAAGTTACTAATATTGCATCCATGTAATGAACAGAGTGGGATTATATGAACAGAGAAAACCGGGTATCTATTAAGATAATTTACTTCGACAGTATGCACTAAAATATCGAGAGAAATGTGGGAAGATATGGCTGTAAGAACCGCGTACTTGTCGTACAGTGGTCATAGCTTTCACAGTTCCGTTCACCGGTGATTTGAAAGGCGGCCGTTAGCTACGCACTAGAGGCGGTAGCTAATGTAGTTGATGCGTAAATGCAGGGTTGTCAGTGGACGTTTTATTGGAGAGACTGGGAGGGGAGCTATGCACTGAAGGCAACAGTTCGGATGCACGAGCACCACTGAGGGCGCGGCTGGAGTGTCTGACAATGTCTGTAAGCATCTATGTGTCCAGTCTCGGGGTCCCCATCCAGGAAGACAGCAATGATCAGTGCATCTGGCTTTCATACTCCACCTTCAAGTCATTGTTTGACGTACCGTGGCTCGTTTCCAACCTTTGCGTGGGTAAGCATCTGTCCAGTCTCGGGGTCCCCATCCAGGAAGACAGCAATGATCAGTGCATCTGGCTTTCATACTCCACCTTCAAGTCATTGTTTGACGTACCGTGGCTCGTTTCCAACCTTTGCGTGGTTGTCCAAAAAGACCCCTCCGAAGATATTGGTCGACGGGAGTATGAAGCACCTGGCCAAACCAGCGCAACCTATGAAGTGAGGTCAGTTCACCTATCGTGTGAGAATTATTTCCTGCGAAAACCATCCGACGTAATCGAGCACTACTGATCCAGTGTTCCCACCATGCTTGGGCAATGCTCCGAAGACACCTCCTGTAGACCTTCACACGTCCGCGGCACTTGGCGTACAATGCCTCAAGGAGGGTCAGATATCTATGGAGGATAACCTTGCTTCACAGAAACCCCCAGAATGCCTGACGAAATCAAGAGAAGATTTCGAGTAGAGGAAGGTAACCATTGTTTGTCGCTGGAGGCAGCATCATTGGTCCAGAATCTACTGAAGGGTGAAAATGTTATCATTTTCCAGGACGGAACCCAGCTTGGTTTTTGTGGACCAGTTTATAACTGGGTCCAGTCAACCTTCGCGAGATAGATCAAGAGGGCACCTTCGATACCAAAGCTGCCAGGCTGACATCATGGTGAATTTCACACGGCGTCCACGTCATCCTTTTGAAGATACGAATAATTGTCGACATGCCCCATCCTACCCATGGCAAACAGGAGTGTTTGGTTGAGGCACCTCCGTTCTTGAGCCTTTGACTCGAAAGTCCGACTCACAAAGCAGTGGGATGATTTGGGATTTTGAGTAGCGACCATTCCACTAGCCTTCGACTCAAACGTCTGATCCACGATGGAGCAGGCGGTAGGGTTTCTTTTGGGGAGCAGATGACTCAATAGTCTGACCTGCTCGGCTGCAGGGCACTGGTCTAACCCGAGGGCGCAGGGTGTGAGGGATTACTGTCTCTCTCCTAATGCAGCTGCGCACAGCAGGTGCCCTTTGGGCAGCAACAGACTCTGGTATCAAAAGTATTTCGACCGTATTGAATAAGGCGCCGGCTGTCACGGTCAATCGTTGGGTGCTCGGAGTGTGCGGTGTTCAGGATCGACCTTTTCTAGCTCGTCCATTCTAGGGTGAAGGCAGTATCGTTGCTTCCATGAATATGGACATGCTGGTCATCTGGAGGAAACGCCTTGCTGGCTTCACACTCCTATCGCAGATAACAGTATGAGTTTACCCGAAGATTGCCTTGTAGCACGATTACTCGTACTAAGGGGTCTCGCTGCTCTTAGTCTGAATGATCAAGAATTAAAAAGAATGACGAACGGGACCCCCGTCCATGTCTGTGGTGCACTAAAGACGCACCTTCTAGTAGTGACTACCGAGATGATAACTATGATATACCATCTGGAAGGAGCTGCGGAAACTTCCCTTCAAAGATGAAGTGGCTGTCCTTTACAATAAACATCATTCAGAAGAAGTTGAACCCTTTCTCATTTCGATGTATTAATAAGTTGAATACTGGCACGGAATAAAGCACGATATTCGAGAAACATTAGACTAAAAAATGAGGCGGCCTTTAAGCAGCAGATTCAGTTAAATATCATAAACGAGTGATTCAGTTGAATCTCCCGTGAGAACCAAACTAATATCTAAATGGGTACTTGTCGAGATGATAAACTATTTCATCTTGGACGAGTGAGACCCTGGTCATTCTGGATTACCTATCAATCTGGATTTACCTATCAAACGAAGTAAGGTCAAGACCACAGATAAAACCCCCACGACAGTTGTCCTGCTGCTTTGCGAGGCAAAGCGTTCCTTAGCGAATAGTGAATAGCGGAGCACAGAAGTCACACTGCAAAAACATTCGAGTGCCACGTTTTTTCTCTTCAAATTGTTGTTAGACCAAGGCTTTGAGTGAGTTAAAGTGTAATGCTACAGGAATCATCAGAATTGCTTTTTCTCTCGACGTAATGATGAGATGGCAGCTTCTCACAAAAAAAGCACTGCAGTTCAAAACAAGGAGGACAAGGCAAAAACGAACTTTAAGTGAACCGGTCGACTTATCCCGGGAAAGGACGTGGCATATCCAAGGGACTCAGGGAGTGGTGACTCTTCTAAATGTCAGCTGGAATATTGTTCGATAAACTCGAAGTAGTAAGAACTGTCCCTACACAACTGGCAAGTGGCCAAGCAATCAAAATCTGATGAAGCAACTCTCCAAATTTTAGTACTACCTAACACCATTATAACTTACCGCCTCTCACGTTCTCGTTCATGTTTGCGTTCACGCTCTCGGTCATCACGATCTTTATGGCGCGAGTATTCATAATCTTTCGCCCTCCGATCTCTTGGTTCTCGGCGTTCCGCATGCGGTGACTCCTCACGATGCCGACGTCTGTGGTGGCGTTCTCGATCCTTCGGTCGATCTTCGCGGTCACGATGCCGATCCTTGTCGCGTTCTCTATGTCGATCACGGTCTTCTAGATTCCCGACAGTTGTGTCCATATCTTCTGCATACTGCAAATCCTCCAAGTCTTCATTTAGGAGCGACTGTCGAGGTTCCAAAGCATTAGCCTCTTCCAAAACTGAGCGCTTTTGTAACCGGGGTAAAATCACGTCACACACACGCTCCTCAGTCAGTAGTTTATCGATGAAATCATCCATGTAAATCAAACTGAAATCTAGAAGCAGTCAACAAATAAGAGAAAACCTACTTCCAGCCCTGTCCTGGAATTTCAAGCGACGAAAATCGTTGTACAGAGTCTCCAGATACTTATAGATTTCAACGGATTCGCCAACGAGACGCAAGTAGAACGCCCCCAAAGCCCTGGCATACCTTAAGACAAAACACATCTTGTAGGTTGTACTAATCCTACTTGTACGGCTCTTGCTTTATAAATTCAATAACAATATCCTTGTCGGGTTGGATTTGGAGCATTTTGAGGGCTAAGCAGAGAAACGGAGTGGGTTTTACATTGCCACTGTAAACTCCTCCAACATAGCGCAATTCGACTGCTTTGTCTACCAGCAATTCGGCTTTAAAACACAGGAATATGTGTTCAAGTTATGATTGAATTTACCTGTGAGAGCAAAGCAGTGTTCCTTCCAATACTTCGACTCATAAATGCGACTACGTATAATCTTCTCAACCAAATACTGGGGATTAGTTCCGTGAACTGTGTGAGCGTCTTTGACGGTTCGGTTTGCCATGACGTATAGGGTCTAAAAGGGTTTCTGGAAGGGAAAAGAGAACATCAATTTTAAAAACGCTGTAGACAGGGGATATCTAAGCAATGTTCCCTAAGAGAATGAGTGGTATGGGTGGACCTAAGAAGTTTGTAAAGAGACGAGCTTTCTCAAAAATTTACCGTACAAGAAATGAAGCAGGTCACCTAGTCACGGCATGAAATGAAGTTAGCAGTTTAGACCAGTAGGAGGAAGTTGTTCGTGAATCAACGCATGTACGGTGTTTCGTTTTCTGCCAGCTGACTTTAAGAACATATGGCGTAAATGCAACCAGCGAAAATAGGTATGTGCCGATGGAATAGAATGGATAGTGACAGATAAACTTCACCCAAACCATTGATCAAGTACACAATGCCAATTACGAGACAGACTATGGTTAGGAACCAAAACAAATCGTTCAGCTGTAACAACCTTGTGGTGCCTAGCTGCCATGCTACTCGAAGGAAACACGAGGGCTGGGATACTGCCAGGTTGTCTAAGCCTAGACTGGGGAAGTCGAGAGGCAGAGGTCGGGTTCCAACCACGGACCTTCCGGTTAGTGAATTCGCGTCCTAACCAGTTGAGCCATCTCGCCCCCATGAATCAAAACAGAAACCCTTTGGTTGCAGTGGGAGTGAAGACTCGCGAACATCACCTGAAGTTAAACATACGCACTTCTACTCCAGATTAACTTACCGGATCTCTATCAAGTACAGCGACCTACAAATGTCAACACCATTATTAAACCCGTTTTGGAATAACGAGGACCATAACATGCCACACAAAAGAGGAATAGAACTCCGATCTGAAGCTGCTACCCGGGAGTAGTAGTCAAACTTAATGATAAGAAAAGATAACCGTTCAGCTGTAACTTGCTTTCCGTATCTGTCGACGTATGTTGTGTCCGAGATACGTATACAGGAACCAACTTCGGTCGTGCACTTCCAGCCGCTTAGGATGAGGTCAAATGCTCCACATTTCACTCGTCGGGTATCCAGTGGTCCTGAAGCAATGACCTGTGTTGGGGTTTCACTCTGCGCCAAGTACTTTACTGGACTGGACCCCAGTAAACAGTCACCTTTGCGCTGTGGGGTTGTCTGGCTTATTCAATATCAATGCAGGTCAATGCAACAAAGGTGTTTATTTGTCTTAGACGCATACACTCCAACAGACTGGAAGAACTCAGAGGACCCAAATGGAACATTGACACAAATCCGCAATCTGCAACCAAAATCCAGTATGAGATATCAATCCTGAAGCATGACAAGGCACCTGGCCCGGATGGTGTGCACTTAGTCCTCTTCAAGGGTGGTGAGGTCATGATGAACAGTCTGACAGCCATACTATAGAAGATTTGGAACGAAGACAGAATACCAGCCGAATGGAGCTCTCCAACCGTCATCCCAGTCTTCAAAAGGACGCAAGAGTGTCGTCGGAAAACATCGTGGTATCAGCCTCGCACCCGTCACATCTAAGGCGCTGTCTGGCATTATTTTGCACAGGTTGATCGACTATCGGGAGAAATAGATTCGTGGGAACCAAGCTGGGTTTCGCCCCGGTCGAGGGTGCATCGACCATATTTTTAGCCTGAAGAAAATTCTCGAACATCACCACTCCTTCAAACGTCCCACTTTGGTCGTTCTTCTTGACCTGAAGGCTGTTCTCGACTCTGTTGATCGTTAGAAACTTTGGTGGCCTTTACCGGTCAAAGGTGTCCCTCCCGAATTTATTTCCCTTATTAGGGCAGTGTATGCGAACTCCTGTGAACCAGTCCGCGTGTACGGCAGGCTCTCACCTGAGTTCACCACGTCCACTGGTGTAAGACAAGGCTGCTCTCTCAACTTTCCTCTCTAATTTTGTTGGTGATGTACCGATTGAAATTTCTTCGCCTGTCTCTGAAATCTCGAGAGTCGAAGTGCTCCCGGAACGTTCGCTCACCGACACTGAACATGTGGACACTATTGCTCTCCTCGGTTCAGATCCTTCCTAAATGCAGACGAGATGGCTCAGCGGTTAGAGCACGAATTTACTGAACAGAAGTTCCGTGATTCGAAACCGAACTCCGCCTCTCGACTTCTCCGGTCTAGGCTTGGGCGGCCTGGCAGTATCCCAGGCCTTGTGCTTCCTTCGGGTGGCTTGGCAGCTAGGCACCGAAGGAATGTTACAGCTGAACGAGTATTATTATTACTAAATAACTCTGTCACACGGTTCGGCACGTGCTCTACACCTGCAAAGTGTAGTGTTGCATAGGGATTGGATGAGATTAAACCCAAACCTCATGCCTTGGAGGGAGCCGATCGAGGTAGTAGACAAATTTGTTTATCTGGGCAGTTGTATAAATTACGGTGAAGTCCGCAGATGAGGTTATTTCTCGAAGCTAGAAAACTAGATCAACTTTTCCCAACCTCCGAAACCTAGGGCGCCGAGTGGACGTGAGTCTATCTATCAAGAGCAAAGTTTATACTGCGGGGTAGCGATCCATACTACTTTATGGATCAGAGACGGTTCTACAAGCAGAGAAATTACGAAGGATTTCAATGTTTGACCATCGGTTTTTCCTAAGCATTGGTCGGGTCTGGCTGAAACATTGGATTATTAATGCTGAGGTAGGAGGAACTCTGCTGAGATGAATGAACCATCCATGCTTAATAGGTTACGTTGCGAATGTGGTAATGATAACTGTCCAAATAACTGAAAATTTGCCAAATATCTGATACCCTTTCGGTGCCTAGCTGCCCTGCTGCTCGAAGGAAACATGAAGGCTGGGATACTGCCAGGTTCCCAAAACGTAAACAGGAGAAGTCGAGATAGAAAGGTCGGGTTCGAACCATGAACCTTCCGTTCAGTAAATTCGCGTTCTAACGGCTGAGCAACCTCTTCCCCTTTCGAGTTATCCAGGCTCATTTGCCAAGCAAGAAGCACTGACATTGTCATCCTTATTGGGCAATATGAATGCCCAAGACGGTCGTCTGAGCTTCTTAGAATCACATTCGGGCGGTCCACTTGGAGTTGATGCTCGTCACAGAGACACCGGAGAACAAGTCCTCTAGTTGTGTGCTGATCATGTACTGTTTATGGCCAGTGCGAACTTTCAGCATGGACGTCCGTATCGTATAACCTGGTGGCCACCAACAGCAAACCAACCATGGAACAATTGGATCACGTGGCCATTAGTCACCGGTGGCTGTTTATGGCGCGAACTTTCAGCATGGACGTCCGTATCGTATAACCTGGTGGCCACCAACAGCAAACCAACCATGGAACAATTGGATCACTCACGCATTAGTCACCGGTGGAGAGCCACATCATCATCATCATCAACGACAGCATGACATCAGTGTTCAACACCAATGCTTCACTGCCGTACAACCATGACTTATTTAAAAGCCTTATTGTAAAGAAAAGAATAAAGGTGGATGGGGGAGGGACTTGGTGCTAGCTTACCACAATCATTCCGAGGTGCCTACACCTCCAGACATTCACTCAGGCAATCTGGATAGAAACTGAGAACAAAAACGCCTCTGATATCGGTTGGCAGCCATATCTTGTAATGCCTCAAACCAGGTGCAGTGGCGTTTGCCACTTGTCGCCACATCAACACCGAGTGGTGTCACACATGTGGCTCCAAGTATCAGGCGCACTGAGACAGAGCACCATTTCTGGCTTTCCGAACGAAATGATGGTATTTGATGTCACACGACCAGGAGACCGAACACCCTGGAGAACCAGGTAACCACTCGTACTAATGGATTACTTGTCAACTAATTCAAAACGGTATTGCTTTGTCGGATCGGTGGGACCAGCACGACAAACGCAATCATCGAACATTTGGTCTGTCGCTGGGATGGACTCAGTCAACTACATTCGAATCGTGCATTGAATTTTGAAAGTACTCTGGTACGCAAAATATGCGGGTCCCTGGAAGTCGACGAAACTTTAATTAGACTCCATTGTTCACAAGATAACAAGTTATCTAGACGGGCGAGCAGATTCCGCAAGGCCCTCTTGAAGGTAGTTACTCAAAGGAACCCGAGCACCTGGAACCAGCATATAGGAGTTCACCCAGGGTCTACAGGTCAGGCCGGTTTCCCCGTGTATGAAGCGCAAACTCAGGCT